GAATGATGCCATGGGGTACCCCTCTCCTGGGAGACTCGACGATGCGGGAAATTTGTTTGCGAGAAGGGTACCGTACCGCTCGGGAGGGTCAGGTGGTTGCCACTGGAGCTGCAGCCGGTCGATGGCTGCAAGAATATTTTGGTTATCTTTATGTGGGAGAGCGGGAGACGACAGGCCATCAAGAAAGAACTAAAGAAACTGATGAGAGAGCGAGAGAGTGAGAGAGCGGCGCGGATGGAAGTACCCCCCATCTCAGCCTGACGCGGCCATCTCGTCTGGCACTTCTCATCAAGCACATGGAACACTTCTGTATGGGCATTGCGAATTGCATGTCGGGCACATCACACCTGGTGCGGGGTTTTCCCGTGCTTCTCCCGCAAAAAATGGCAAGGGTGTGTCTTTACTCGGTCGACACTTTTGATACATGGGTATCTCACCGCACAAAATAGTGGTGCAATAATTATTATCATGATTTTGCTGGTGAGAGGAGAGGAGAGGAGACGAGGCTGCTGTGGAGGGATGGGTGGTCGAGTCCTTCGCCATACCTTGTCCGCATTTCTCATTGTGACCAGGACCTCGACAACGGTGACAGCATGCAGCTAGAGAATATAATAAGATTGAAGGAGGGATGAAATATACCGGTCTTGACCCACACCAGGGTGTGTCGCATCCACCCATTAAACCATTTCGATGCAGGCGCGGGGAAGTTCACCCATCATCAAACAAAACCATAAACATGCATCATCCTCTGTGCCGCTGCCTGTTCATCTTCCTCATGCTGTCATGTCATGAATCTCGACCGCAAACCCACGCGCAATCTCGTCGTGGTTTCAAGGTGAGTAAGGTAACAGATCGAGATCGAGGTAACGGGGCCCTCGGAATGGGAGATTGCCCGCGCCTCCGTCCACATCTGGCAGGAGCGGTTCGGCCGTCCGTTCTCAATTGAGGTTGTAAGACGGCAACCTTTTCCGAAAGTGTCAGGAGCTGGTTGTAGAGGAAATCCGATTGTCCAATGCCTCGCACCGCCGTTATACATATAGCACGGCTATTAAGGTAAATATCGTTGGGAAGGTGGTGCGTCGGGTAAAGTACAGCTACATTCTCCAGGACTACCACAGACGACCGACTACCCAGACACCCAGAGAGGAGATGTGGCTGTGCTCAGCCACTCGCCTCGAGCTTGCGAAGCCTGCGAAGCATCGTCTATCTGTGCGGTCTAGAAAGGAGAGGAGATCACTATGTTCTAGCCACAGTTGTCAATTGATAGATAGAAAACTAGGAAAAACTCCGTGCAGAGGAAAAGCAGTCATCCGTACGCAGGGAACTTTTGTCAGTGCTGAGCAATGCTGAGGGAACGGGCTCACGGGCTCTGTCGTTGCCTTACATACAGCACCCAGGTTCGCCACGAAAATGGCAACTTCGGTCGAACACCTCACTCATGTCCTGCTGAAATTTTGATGGATTGTGTGAGTGCGTGAGTGAGTGCCAAAACTCCCCCCCTCTCCACCCCACCCGAAGAAGCGGCAGAGACTCGTTGCGGTATGGGGTTCCGTCTTAGCCCTTAAGCGGGCGCAGGAATTGGCAGGGCTATCCTAGCCACACCGTTTCTATCCCGTGTGGCCGTCTCAAAGTTTTGGTGCCTGTCCACTGTTCAACGAAAAAGTCCGGCCTCACCTTCGATTGTTGTGTCCTCTAAGACATTTTGGTTATCATGGCTCCAGAACTACAGACACCTCTTGAAGAAGTCTCAGAATCGATATCTTTTGCGCTCAACCAAGACCCCTCTTTTTCGGGGTCTGGGGTCCTCCGGGGGGTGCTGGTGATGGTCGACTCGGCCGCGCAGCAATGGCTGGCAGGGATCTGCATCCACATGCGCACTCAAAAACGCTACGTTAAATTCTCACAATTATGACGTCAGTCACTATTCCGTTGTGTCTTGCTTGCCCAATTGATCTAGCGTGCGAAAACATTCCACATATTACTATTTTCACAATCACGTTTGTTCGTCCTCATCGGCAGCAACACCACCAGGGATCCTCTTCACATGAACCTTATAGCAGCAAATATCAGCAGACAATGACATGTCACACTTGGCCGGCTCGTTCTGTTCCTTTTGTGGTGGTATCGACCTGCCCGGCCCACAGCATAAACTCGTCCAATCTGAACAGGGACACCCGTGTCGGCTCGAGGCACGATTACGTCGATCTCAACTTCTTTTGGGCTCCCGAATCTCAAAGTTTCAGTATCGGCATTCTGGAAGTCTTCTGGTAGCAGAATGCTAGCAACACAATCTCTTTTCCCCCCTTCGCTTACGCCGTGTCACCGGCTCTTGAAGGGGAACCATATCCGTCCCGAGTCTGAAATGCCCACATACATGAACTGCGATGGCATGCATGTATGTACAAAGGCGAGAAGCAGACACGAACACCCTTTGCGCATAAGGCTGAGTGAGTGTTTACATGTTGCCGAAAAGGGCTCGCCGTCCCCGGCGGCAGCAGGTGAACGGACGGCGGGAGCAGCAGCCGTGACAACAAGGCCAAGCTCTTTTGACCTGCATCGCATGCAGTGCTAAGCCCGGGTCCAGGTCGAAAGCTGGCCAGAATCAGAGACTCCATAGAGGATCTAACGGTCGTGTAGAAGAAAAATACCAGAGCGGTGGAATGCTCGCTCTCAGGGCCAGAATGGATGAACTCACAGCCACAGCCACAGCGTCCCAAACACTTTTTTTTCTCATCACGATCGACCCACTGCGTTCACGGGCTCGATCTCCCGATCTGCAAGGGGTTCTCGGGATTCAGTGCTACGATTCGGTATCATTGCTCTTCCAAAGCCGGCAGAATATCAGCACTGCTGCAAAAAGGGTCGTGAAGGGGGCGCAAGACCCTGAGATCTATCTCTACATACGATCTATTATTATACACCCATACATACATACATACATACATACATACATACATCTACAAAACTATCTCTATGCAGCAGTGAGCTACGCTACCTCTGTGTTCCCCAATACAGCAGGCTGCATACGGTTGGTTCTATTCTATATATGATCGTGAGCACGTGCTCACTGTCATTGATGCTGATATAGCCTCTACACCGTATTTGCATATCTGCTTGACACACTGCCGACTTGGCTAAAGGCACGCCATTGTTTAGCATCCCTGGGATACCCTCCTCTCGTTGCGAAGCGTGTGAAGCTATTCCCAGCACCTGGTGGACCCAGCATTTGACACTGGACTAACATGACGTCATGGCTCCATCCAGTCCGGAGCGTTTCAAAAAAGAAAAAAAAAGAGGGGGGGTTTTGTCGCGGGAGAGGAGCCGTTCCCCGGAGCTATTGCTCACTGTCGGGTGGTCAGTGCCCCAGTGGTGGTGGTTCTACGTGGCATATCGGCCCCCAATTTTCATCAACAGAAGCATTTCTGTCGCAAACTTCACCGCTTCAGAACAAATCACAAGATTGATGATACCAGCAGTAAAGCCAGCAAGCACCGAATCAGAGGCGGCCAAATTGATAACCACCATCAGATCATTGCCTATCATGGGGTAAAATCGAGAGGGTGGGCGATCACTCTGCCGCGTGTTCACAGAAACACCCGCTGTGTGTGATTCGCCGACGAGCAGTCGGTCCTGCAGCCGAGGCGGTCCTCCTGCGGCCGCTACGTCATTCTGACATGTCACCTCTGCATGTTGTCAATATCGGATTGTTGCCGAAATCCCATTGCTTTCTCTCTTTCGTCGTCTCATCACTGATGAAGAAGGTGGTGTGTGGTTGCGACGAGGCTGGGCGTCCTTCTTCGTCTCGACCCAACCCCCAGCCGTTCCAGCCGTCCATCCCTCCCCCCGCCCTTCATTCCCGCTTAACCGCTTGTCGGAGCGAACACCGTTTATTTCTCGGTTAGTGGGCGGGGGGGGGGGAGGTCGTTGGGTCTGGCTCCATATCAGACGTAAAATGACGTCATCGTTGAACCTGTCAAGGGTGGGCACGGGCCCTTTCTCTCTTCCGACCCCCATCAGTCCGTGCGTTTCTTTTCTGACAAGCGCGGTGGAGCCTCGAGTTGACGCGAGCAAGGGGGCTGCTTGAACGACACACCTCTCCAACAGATCGGACAAACACGAGATGATCGGCTTTT